GGCAGAATGCAAATCTGTTGATGACTGAAGAGTTAGCATTTGCTCAGAATTATATTATTTACTGTAAACAAAAATTGGCACTGATTGGGTATTGACTTCGGTTCGACTTTTCACAAAATCAGAAAGTTAACGATGTGACAGAATTGACTTTATATATAGCAGACACAGGGATTTACCAAGAAATGTATATAGAAAGCCACATAGAATATCACTTATCAGCGAATGATAATCACTTGTATGTATCTAATTAAGTAGTAACAGAAAATCATAGCATACCCTCTGTTAAGTCATGCAAATCCTTGAATTCTAATGTTATAAGCAGGGGAACCAGACAGGGATTTCTTCTCTGTAGGTATTTGTCACTTCAGAGTACACTATAAAATGTGTAATTTTGTTTGGTGATATAAATGTTGATAAACACATAAATATAAGTGTAAGACAGATTTTAATCTTTCACGTGCTATTTATGTACCAGGTAATTCATTGTTTTGTCATTGATTAAGTGCTATAGAAGATTGAATTAATCGTGCTTTGTTATATTTCCATATTGTTTGATAATCAAATACTTTTAACTTATTATTCCTGAAGGAGAAATCAGACCTGACCAATTAGAAAGTTATAAATTGGTATAGAAACAGCATATCGAACTTTAAATAGATTGGAAAGAAAAGAACAGATGTTAGCACTACACAGTAGCAAATAGTGCGTTGAAATGTGGAACTAATGATCAACATGGCAGAAAGTTGTATAGGACCATAGACAATTGTCTTTATCAGAATAGATGTAAGCAGGTCAGCGTTTAACATTAGAAGAATTGAATTTAGCAATTTGAAGTAGAGGTAGCAATACATAGTTTCTCGGTGTGACCATGGTGATTTTTTTTGTTCATTAGATTACCCCATTATAAAGATTTAATTAAAATTTCATATATAAATCCTTGCTAAAATTAGTCCTGTCATGTTGAAGTGGTCAATGTGGGATTTCATTTTTTTCCGGATAATATTTTAGCTTTGTGTTGGAGATTACTATTTGGGCAGTCTCGAATCTGTGTCTACGCACCAAAAACCAGCTTTACAGGAAGTGAAATTTTCAGTGTTTACTTGTAACGATGTTTTTTTTTCATAAACAAACTGCTATACCTGTATATCACAAACATGACCAATAATTTCAGGAAAAATGCAAATTCACTGTTTCCTTCTACCGATATTATGGAGAACTCCTTGGTATAAAAGATTTATACATAAAAGTATATAAAAAAAATCACTCTTTAAAGAAATCTAAGGAGGCCAGTTGCTTAGAGACGCAGGTTACTTACTATAAATAGGAAATCTGTCGTTCAGAAATGCTGACATAAGCTTTTGATATTATGAATGATGCCATTTGAGATCCTTTCTAAATAAAACTGGAATATGTGCGCCAATGTTTACAACATCATGCAGCACTGAGGAAAGAAATGAAGCAGGAAGTGATGAGAAGGATAGCTGTTACAGTTTTAAAACCAAACAATAGACAAACAAATTATTTTATAGGTGGTTGCGTTTCGTATTATGAAGTTTATGTACAAACTATCTGTGGTATGTTAAATGATGATATATCTATTCAAGATAGGAACTGAAATCTGACTTATTTCATGCCCATTTGATTAGATAAACTTCCCATCAGAATGATGTCTCTCCCATTACGTAATAACAATTATATTGAATCACACAGCCAGTAATTACGTAAGAAATGAAACATAATCGTGATCAGTGTATTATCGCCAGATTTGTTTCAATTAGCAAAGATGAATTTCTACATTTTTCAAATAGTTTCATTTAAAATTATATCATAATACCGAATGCTACACGCACCAGGCTTAATTACTAAACACGGACAACTCAAGTCAGGATTAATTTTTTGAAATTTAAATTGATATATCTTTTAACATTTTGAAAGTTTAGATTTTGTATGAGAGCGGATAGATAATCAGCAGCCACTGTGGTAGCGGCTTGTTCTAGTATGTATCATGTGAGAGCAAGATAGCTTTTCTTTGATACAGTGGTCTGAAGTTTTGTTCTCAAAACTAAATCAACATTTGTTAGCTAGTCTATTTGAAGTTATAACAATCAATATGCCCAGTATACGTCATAGGACAATATATTTCTTGAGTTACTTATTACCCAGGAGAGGTCTGCTGTTCGATCCCTTCTCTGTCAAATAAAATATGATAAAATGTAAACACACCGGGCTGAACTCTTCTTATCAAAGCCAACTTCAATTTTATTAGATATCTATGGAAACGAGACAATAAGATGTTGCACCGGGTGTACACAGGGACGTACTGAGATCTGGAGTTTATACATATATATATATATATGTTGTTGTTAAATACATTTTGATGAATTTAGAAAAAGAATTGAAATTTCAAAGGGAAAGAAAGGAACTAAATGAAAAAAAAGCAATATTAAAGATTGAAAACGTAATCCCATTTATGTAAATACTATAGAAAGATATTTTAAATTATTATTAAAGTCTGCTATGAGCATGTGTATTTCAATATCAAAAACATCTCCTGGAATAAAGCCACAAACACAATCATATGATTCCATAAAGTCTTTTTTTAAAGAAATAAATGTTCGTTCAGTGACGAAAGGTAAAATACATTAATAAAAGAAATAGATAGAAAATCTAACACTGACCTTAGTAATTGTCCAGTATTGTTCGGATTAAACGGAATAGAGTGTAAAGCCAAATCGTTATCAATGAAATGATGAAGACCAAGTCTGGCATAATACCAGGTTTGATAATATTCCTCACGTTTCTATTTGCTTTCAGATTTTCAAAACAGCTATTCACATTATAAGATGTCTTCTATCGCACTAAAATCTTTAATATAGCCTAATGGTTTCCCGATATAATTTGTTAAAGACAAAAATTCCCGATATTAACATTTAGTCCAGACTAATGCACTGCAACAAAGTGTTGTTCTTTCTTTCTCTCCCTTCTGGTTTCACCGTAACTGTGGGGAGATTCTGGAGACACCTTTTCCAATAGCAATATCATAGATATGATAGCGGCAAGTATATCATTCCTAAACCAGACTTAATATCTCCTGAATATTGAGCAAATCTGGGTCAGTTTTTAATTTGATGCACAACTTTTGTGACACATATTTATCTCCATGGCTGTGAAGACATCACAGAAATGCCCTCGCAGAAATGAGATGTAATGCCCTCGTATAGTAACGAGGGAGAGAGAAGACGATTATATTATTTTGCGGGCACAATTGAGGTCGTAAAAGGATTGTGGAAGTGTAAAAATCAGAAAATGTTCCCTTATCTATGGTTTTACCAGACCTGTCTGTCTGTCTGTCTCTCTCTCTCTCTCTCTCTCTCTACATTGTTTTGACGTATAGCGAACTGAGCCCGTGATATTGCCGACTTTTGATTACGTAGTGAAGATGGTGGTCCATTAGTGACTTTAATAGACGAATGAAGAGTGTGAGACTCGACAAATCTATCATGTCCGGATTATGTAAGATTATGTAAACATTTAAACAATATTTCAGAGTGGGTATCCATCAAAATAGCTAGCTTCGTGCATGTTAAATAGATATTGGTAATTACTGACAGCTATACTGATTTAGAATTCGCGGTAAAGAGCGTCTGTTATCTCTTCGGGCTCTGATTAATGAATGGTAACACAGAGATGGACACGATAATGTAAAAATTATGTATTATACTGGATCCTGTTAATAACTTAAAGTCGATTGAAAATTAGTTTAAAGTAAAAATGAACAGATAAATATGCATTGCCTATTTAGTTGGCTATATGAATGTTTGCAATACCGATTTCATTCAAGATGAATGTTGGTTTCGACGTGCACTGGATCGCATCTCACGTCATCGACGTCGTCTTATAGATAAAATTTGGATTAACTTACACGTGCATCATACGCAGTATTAAAAAGATACTATGTTCTCGGCTATAGACTGATCACAGCCAGATACGACAATGTATATCGTATATTACTTAGTCTAACGCATGATCTGCACGGAGATGATACAGTATTATTCCAGTGTATTGATATCGTATCACGTTAACAATAGACGAGTTCTATCTCTCTCCCAGTGTATCTAAAACAAATCAACTTTATCCAAATACAGCATCCCATCACGTCCATTCAGTGTAAACCATGTAACAAGTACGATTAACACACTGTTTATCTGTGATATTCTCTTGTGATGCGGTCTTTGTATATACATGGTTAATATGAGTGTGTTAAATTCTACAGGATTGTAACCAGACGTAAGTATCTCTTGAATTAGTCCCAAATGGAAGAATTTGATATAAGCCACGTGACAGTATGACACAGAAAAACAGTTTCAGTATAAGATACCTTTTATTGAAAAATTATGATCGTATAAAAATGTTTATGTACAATTGTAAAACTATCGGTTACACAAAGCTACACTACAGGTAAAATGGTGAGGTATGTATAGGCATGGGACAAGTTACAGATATATACAGGACACATTTATACAGGAGGACTGACAGGAAGCAGTAGCACCTATTAGTGACGTCACGTGGTATATCGACCACATCTATTTAAACATCGCGATCAAATGCTCTTTTTATCTAATTGTCTTTGTTTTTTTACAAGTATCCGGCCTTCGAAACATTCATATGACACAAATAAAACGTATTTAAGTAGCACATTCTCGAAACGGTACAATGAGTCTTTGGCGGGTCTTGCACAGTTCCCTGGACTAACTTCCGGTTCCTTATACAGAAAGCTAGACTTGTATCTCTGCGGTGTTATCACCGGCACCATATGTTGATCCATCTGTTACACCATGTTTATTTACAGTGGGATCATCTGTGGATGCGTCAGTGGCGCCGTCTGTCGTTCCTTCTGTGGCTCCCTCTGTGATTTTTGGCGTTGTCCCTCGGCCGATATAATCCAAGAGGATAGCGAAGAACTTGTTGGTGTCGGCGATGGCACTCAGAGATGCTCGAAGTCAGTGCATGTTGCCATTGGATACGGTCTTGACCCTGATACTTTCGCCGCTAACGTTATGGTACTGCTCCTTCCTTATCTGTTCTTTGGTGATCTGCAACATTAAAACTGGAATGTAGGAAAGGGATTAGTAAAATAGCACAAGCGGGCATACATGCAGCAAATAGCACAATCAAATATTGAGTAAAAATACATTTCCTATCAATAAAGATAAAAACTTTTAGCAGTCTAACGCAGAAACAGGATGATATGTATCACTTTTCATGACAATCGCATTAAATGGTAACCCTGCGCAATGTTTAATAAAGGTCAGTAGAGTTATACCCAATTGGTGGCGGGATGCGCATGCGTCTCTCGCGGTAAGACGAATCTAATCCGTTAATATATTGGTTAAAATCAAACTTGCAGGGCGGGAAATAGGGTTCTTTCTTGCCCTAGAACATAGGTAGGATAGGATGATGAAAAAGACCTAATACTAATTCTAGAATGGTTGAAATATGTTACTGAATGTTCATTGAAGCTCTAAGGACAAAGATAAAAGGTATGTCTCCGAATGTCTCACATTATATCACTGACGCCACTGTAAAACAGTAAAATACACAAGTTTTCGATCATTGAGATTGTTTAAATTGGTTTCAAGTGAACTGAGCTTGTTTGTATCCTTCGGCAATTAAAGCGCTTATCTTCAATATATATAAAACGGAAATTGAGTACTAACCTCATCTTTCATCGATGAACTTCTTTTTTTCTTGTATATACAAACTCCGATGATAGCGATGATAACGACGAGGACGACAATACCACCGACTCCGAGGGCGACGCTGGCCTCGAGGGGGAGAGGACAAAGATTGGTTCCGTCACCACAGTGATCGTATCCGGAACACCTCAGATTATTGTTTATACAGCGTCCATTGTAACACTGAGTCTCCCCTCCCTGGCAGGGTCCTGGTGACAAAATAAGACAGATTAGCTGACGACTATCGTAATGTCAGAAATATTTAAAAATCGTCGATTTCATTTCATTATCTAAAGTCTGTTAATTAATTACTTCTATAGAAATAAGGGATTTGTTTACAAGACATGGATTCAGGAACAAGCAAACCGTTCTACATTAACGAACCTCGTCTAAAAGCGCTGATCAGGAGCTCGAATCCTCTCCTGTTGACAATCTGAGAACGGCTCTGGAACTGAACCGTAAGGTAACCAAGGCGGGTCTCGTAGGATCGGGTGAGCATCATGTTACTGTTACCACAAATAGTCTGGGGTAGGCCTGAAAAAGACGGGCAACGATTATGAAAGGTCAAACAAGATGACATGATCACCAAACAAGGTCATAGTAATGTTTGGAAAAGTCTTCATCGTGTACATATTTTTTTTTCTTTTCTTTCCAACAGAAATACTTAAAACAATGAAATTTTTTGAACTGAGATATATTAATATGGTTTCAAATGTGAGCAGTTCTGAGACACAATTATCTCCTTTTACACTATAGCTAAGTTTTATTTTGCGGAAGGAAATAAGATGCAAGCTCATTTTACAAAACGTACCTTGGACAAATTGTGCTTGACCGCTTCGCCCGTCGTACATCCTCAGGAAATCGGTCGCACATTGACCAGTGGGACTGGATTCTACATCAAGGTCACGGAAGGTCACTGAGAGGTCTTTTCCCAGAGGGGGTTCGATGGCAATCACACAATCCTGGTTAGGACGATGGGTTGGGTTACGGGACAATCGTAAGATAATGGAATCCTCATTCCGTGTCATCATGTTGATAGCCGCACCACATCCTTCCTCCATGTAGTCTGTGGGTAGAAATAGTTGATATAGTACAGTCAAATATTATATAATTTGTACAAAACATTATTTCTGTCATTGCCAGAGAAATTAAACAATCTTATTAGGGGAAAAGCGATCGAAATGATGAATAGTGGCAGTATGAAACTAAACGAACCAAAATATTTCAACTATAATGCTAGGATAAATTAATAATATTAAAAAGGAAATGAAAACAAAAACTTCTTATTTAACGAAATAAATATAAAGTATAATTTGTTTTTCTATGCAAAAAAATGAGCCTTGCCAAATGATAAACACAATTTGTATACAACTAGATGTAATGACCAGCTTTGTCATTGCTGGAGATACTTGGACTGGTAGCGAACAGTTGACAAAAGAATCCTTCCTAAATGTTTTACACAACTGAGACTAAATAAATGTTTTAAATCTAATCTTTAAAAAATGTCTCTTATCTAGAAACTACTCCAAATACTAAGTGATTGCTACCCCTATGTTAGTTGTTTAATACTACTAATGATATATCATGGTCGTCAAGAAGTATACATAATGTACTTATATAAGTCCATATATATTCTATATTTTACTATTATATTTATTATTCTCATTATTTTCGAATAAATAATTTCAAAACAGATCAAACGAAGTGTAATATATTATCCATAAAGTCATGTTAGATATTAATCAATGATGATACGATAATTATTTAATGCAATAGGTTAGTTATACGCTATTGTGCCCTACCCTGGCACTTCTGCTCGGAAAATAAAAATAATTAAATATATAAATATATATATTGAAAATGTGATGAATTCACGGTACCCAGATAATGTAGAAAAAGTTAAAACACTGGAGAACACATGCTGTAAAACATGTTTTACATGTGTTTCCAGTGTTTCAACTTTTTTCTACATATATATATGTAGTGGTCCTAATTCCCTTACGGAATGCATCTCACGAAACAGCCCCAAGGCAGAATGTTGACGCATCGAACTATGATATATTTTATTGATACAAGATAACCACAAACATTCTACCTAATCATATCTATTACATGTCACGCATGACTGATTCGGTGATTGATGAGGTATCCGTTATATTTTAGCTATAGAAGTATGCGGTCAATCACCCATATCAAATAAAGTATTAGATAATGCGATGCGATGCTGATTTTTACTTTAAATCTTATGACTAGAAGGCGGAAGACAAATATCGTTACTGTAGACAATGTGAAAGTTGAATAAAAAGTTTTTTTCCTGGCCGTGAGATATGCAATATCAACTGAACCATTGAAGGAACGAATGGATACCCATGAAAATCGGTGCGGTAAATTCATATCGATGAAAATATGAGATAAATTATCGGAAAGAACCTCCCAAACGAAAAATAATATTATATATATATAAAGCTGAATTTTTTTGTGAATCTACTCTTTAGAAAAATAATCTTAAGCTAAATGAATGCCTGTTGGTTATGAAAAATATTATTTTAAATGATTACCAAAAATAAATGTCAATCAAAATTATGTTGCAATTAATTCAATTAAATGGTAAGATATTTATTACAGTTTGGTATAATGTGAAATTGTGAGAGGAAAACCTCTTTTAAGAGCTAATAACCTTTGGAAACATTCCAAATGGAACTAAAAGTTAGTTTTTACTTACATGTTTGTAAAGCTGATGTGTAAGCAAGCATCCACGCCAAGATACATACGACCGCTAAAGTTTCCATACTGTCCAGTATACTTAATCTCGAAAGGTGATGTTAGTCCAATGGGAGAGGAACTGTGAATGCCTTTCCTCGAAATGTCCGTCAATTTATACCCAGGGAGGGGTGGTGACGGGTGACAGCCGTGACGGTCCCCCATCCATCAGAGTCTGTCAGGGAAAACGTCTCCACTAGGATGATTGTGGATGAGAAGCCTCGTACCCACGTAAAGAATTTAATTGAGTAGCGTCAAAATACCTGTCAGATCACGGGTAATTTCACTGTATGTCCTCAGGGGACAAAATATATATGTATATTTGTATATTACACGTCTTACTTGCATGGTCAATGATTGAGATGACCAAAAACGGAAGTTAATGAAAAATACAACACACGGAACAAATGTTACCATAGTGCCCACAGGCATTCTATTATCACTTTTATAGTTTATTGTGGTTTTATTGCTCTTTGAACCTTTCCCTTTAGATAGGGCAATAAAGTACTGATTTTTTTGCTTTTGATGCCGTTAATCAAAGACCATTCCCGAGGTGTGGAATTGTACGTGTTAAGAGTGTTGGATGCGAAATCCACAAGGTTGACATGCAAATAGTATGACCGTCACGCAATGCCCAATTAGCAAGCTGATTCCTGTTGTATTGATGAATGTTTTAACATGTAGATATTGTGTTGTATAAAGGTGTGTGGGATACCATAGCGATGCTTCATTCACGGCAATATACAGTACGCCAACACAAAAATAGCTGACTCGTGAAGCTTTATTAGGTCGAATCATCACAGATTCCTTTACCAGCGTTACTGACCTAATAAGGATGTCCTTGCCACAGAAAACTTAAAGGATGTCAAAAGCTATCAAAATTATTTTTGTTGCCTATGTAATACACAGTTTAAGTCAAATGTCTGTTCTCTCGTGGAATTGATTCCAGTTCAGCGTAGTAAAAGTATCCATAGATTTTGAACAAGTGGATTTTCAAAACAAGTTACGAAAGCTCTATAGAATTAAGCCTAACGTCATTATGTGTATGAAACTCGACAAAGGCGACCTTCATCACAGACGTTGTCCTTATACTTTATAAACAGAAAAAATGTGTCAATGGTATTTCTTACATAATTTCCTTTCCGTCTTTTTCGTACCATATTAAAATAATACTTATCTTCAACCTCTCAGCCTTGTATCAGTAGATTATAGCATCCAGAATCAAGTTTGATAGATTTCATATTGATATCGTTACACAACACCAATTTTGCAATTTAGTTTACCAAAATAATTCTCCATGTACGTATAAACCAAGCATTTACACAGACAAGTACTGCGATATCCTCCTTTTCTTTCAATCTCCATCAACCAGATTAATGAACTTTTGATATTGATTATATTCTAGTCAATGTCATGTCAAATAATGCTGTTAACTGGCTAAGTCTTTAGAATTTGACTTTCACGTACCATGAAATGTCAAATAATGCTGTTAACTGGCTAAGTCTTTAGAATTTGACTTTCACGTACCATGAAATGTCAAATAATGCTGTTAACTGGCTAAGTCTTAAGAATTTGACTTTCACGTACCATGAAATGTCAAATAATGCTGTTAACTGGCTAAGTCTTAAGAATTTGACTTTCACGTACCAGGAAATGTCAAATAATGCTGTTAACTGGCTAAGTCTTTAGAATTTGACTTTCACGTACCAGGAAATGTCAAATAATGCTGTTAACTGGCTAAGTCTTAAGAATTTGACTTTCACGTACCATGAAATGTAAAACAATGCTGTTAATTGGCTAAGTCTTTAGAATATGACTTTCACGTACCATGAAATGTCAAATAATGCTGTTAATTGGCTAAGTCTTAAGAATTTGACTTTCACGTACCAGGAAATGTCAAATAATGCTGTTAACTGGCTAAGTCTTAAGAATTTGACTTTCACGTACCATGAAATGTCAAATAATGCTGTTAACTGGCTAAGTCTTAAGAATTTGACTTTCACGTACCATGAAATGTCAAATAATGCTGTTAACTGGCTAAGTCTTAAGAATTTGACTTTCACGTACCAGGAAATGTCAAATAATGCTGTTAACTGGCTAAGTCTTTAGAATTTGACTTTCACGCACCAGGAAATGTCAAATAATGCTGTTAACTGGCTAAGTCTTTAGAATATGACTTTCACGTACCATGAAATGTCAAATGATGCTATAATTGGCAAAGTCTTTAGAATATGACTTTCACGTAACGAAGCGATGATATTGCAACATTATTTATTTAACATCTTATCCAAAGTACTAGTTTGTTGTTTTACCCGACAGAACTTCGGTGTTGTGTGGAATTTCTATCCTGTGTTTTACTGGAAAGATCGACTTCTTATGATACAGCCCCTACGCCTATCTAGCTTGTTTTGTAGCATATCTTGTAATAATAGATGTTTCACAGACAGTATAAAACGGGCGTGTCAAAAATCTAGAAATACATGGAGATGTTTATAGTGAATCATTAAACTGATTAACTTGTGTATGGATGCTATTTTGCTGATATATGTTTATGATCAATAAACGATTATTTTACAAAAGCAGTATAATGCATCAGGTTGCCATAAGGCGGACCGAGATACAAAGAAAGAATCCATTCGGCAGGTTAACGAACATCTAACACAAAAACACCGTACGTAGAGTAATGCAACGTTAAACAATGCGATAATCTTAATAAGAATGTATCTTTACGCCGCTGTGTCTTTTCTCAGCTGTCAACATATATAACTGAAGTTGCTGAATTGAAAACAGTCCCCAGAAACAACTGCAATAGATGACTTTGAGGAGCGAATGCGTTACTGTCTAGAAATGGGAACATTTTGGAGATTCCTGTCATTACGCTTTATTAGCATACATCTTATTGGTAAGACATTCCGGTTAGTTTTGTTTTAAGTAAAGATCGAGACTATCAACTGCTGTGCAAATTTTGAAGGGAATATCTGATCATATCTTTTATTACTTTTCTTTTCATTCCAAGAAAGTAGGCCATCAGCAAATACTAAATCTTTAAAATACATGATAAGGCATTGGAGACTTTTTCTGAACTAATAAGCCCACCATCAAAGTTCCTTTCTAAGCAAATATTAGTCATCTGTTAAAAAAATTGTGAAAAAAAATGAAAAATAAAAATCTGAATAAGACTTTTAAAACCAACATAATAAATATCAGTTCATAGGGAGAAAAACTGCAGGAAAAAAGACTGTTGTCAAATTCAGACAACTGGTATTTTACTCAACGAAACGAAAGTTGTACTCGTTAATATTAAATATCATTATATTAATAGCAGAGAACATTTTACCTTTACGTTTACTGTGTCTATGTAAAATTAACACTGTCTTCACTCAATAAATTCCTAAGTGGAAATTAACGTGAGAATGTCTTTCATTGTTTAACATTGATATTGATTTATTTTTTGGACAATGTTCAATTTTTGTGTAATTACCTTGTAGTATCAGACTAAATGTGCTATTTTTTCCTGACCAGTATGAGTCAAAAATGCATCAGTAACGTTTGGCTATGTACGGTGTCGATGGTATTGATGAACCATAAAAACTAACAAAAACGGAGAAGATTTATATAGAGCAAAAAACACATGTAGCAGTTGATCAGTGCATCAGGTTTGATTCAAAACTACTAATAGTATATTTGCATGCGAGTTTCGCATTAATCCTTTCTGGTAAATCGGTTTAAAATCAATTTGGAAATCAATATCTGCTCGAAGATGAGTCAGTATTTAGAAATTCAAACATCTAGTGCGTAATGTTATATATCACAAGAGTTAGATGTTGGTTACTGAGTATTGCACTACAACAATTGCTGCTGACCTTAACCCCTCATGGTCGGGGCTACATACCAAGGTCATTACATACCAAGGTTATTACAGATACGGTCACCAGTCTGACCACAGCTATGAGACAAGGTATGTGTCAGTGTGTCAGCACACTCACCCGGATAAACGGCTAATTGAATAAATATATATGTAGTATGAAACCCGAAGGGAAATGACGTCATTTGGAGACTTATATATACAAGGAATACTAATCATGTCTATTTACTTCATCAAGGTAACTTATTCTTCTTGCTAAGGGTTCACGACTTACAAGATTTTAAAGACATCCGAATGGCGAGTGAAGCTGGTCTTGTGTGGGAACATCTATACTAGCATACTCTCTAGTTGTTAGTTGTTTTGCGAAGAAGATAAAAACGAATTAAGGGTTACATCGAAATATTACACCATTATAAAGATGATTATGAAGGAAAAATAAGGAGAAAAAAGAGGAAGATTTACGAAGAATGTACATACAACTGGTTTCAATTGGTTACAAGTTAGTAGGACTATAATCTAGTTTGGAGGTTTTTGTCTTTCTTCAACCAAAGTCAAATCAAATATTACGCACCCACAATAGCTATCAACATGTACTATCATAAACATCCATTTGGTGATACTAGTAATATAATTGTATAAATAAAAAGACACATGTACGTATTTAATTCAAGTTTAAATGATATTACGTCATGATAACTACCAAACCCATCTGAACCCCTGAATAGAACGTTATATTATAGGAACACGAAATCATCACTTCATCATAAAAACACATCAACTGCAGTACAACAATATAGCTCAACACGAGTACCAGTACACTACAAAAGTCATTTCGAAATCAGAAAGATAGGTAGACTATCTTTTTTTATTTCTTCTTATTTATTTTTCTATTTTTTATCTTAGAATTTATATTCTTTACTGTGCATTGTTTCAAATTGTCAAGCAAGGTTTTATAATGGTTTTATTGCTTTGAAAAGAATTTTGAGTTTGAAATGGAGTTTCACTTTAACGTTGTCTTATATTTTTGAAAAGCCATTTACGAAGAGTCCTAAATTTCTTTTTGATAAACAGTCTCGAAGGAAGTTAGAGATTGACTTATCCACGCTAACGACTTTACTATACAGATAAACAGCTGTCAGTGTGAACTGTGACTAAATTTGGCTG